TGGGTGGGGAGTGAGGGTGGAGGGTGGGGTGGGAACTGGGAGGAGGGGAGTTATGGGGGGGGAAGAGGAACCAATGTAATAATCTGAACAATAAAGATTTAATTTTAAAAAAAAGCATGAGGGGGACGCATCGATTTTAAAAGATGTTCAATGTGAAGCAAATTAGGAGTTAGAATGTTGAGTTTTGAAGAAGGTAAGGATAGGCAATGTTCAGTTGTGGTTGTGTGGCATTTGAATAGGCTGTGAGGTATCCAATAGGAATGTCATTGAAGCAGCTGAATATATGAGCTCAGAATAGAGATCAATTTGAATTCAAGATATAGTTTTGGAAATTGTAAAGTTAAGGGCGGCAGCAGAGGTTGAAAACCCAGTTAAGTTTGCCTAAAGAGAGAGGAAATGAGGAGAGGAGAGCTCTGGCAAGGGCTACGTTTCCTTTTTTGTTGGTGTTAATTCTCACCTGAGGATATTATTTTTTCCCATCTATTGGGCCCGGGATCGAATCTGCAACCAGGTACATGCCCTCAACTGGGAATCAAACCTGTGACCCACTGGTTCCTGGGCTCACTGTCTAACCATTTAGCACACCGACCAGGGCAGAGGCTTCGTTTTTAGAGCAGGTAGTAATAGAAAAATCCAGTAAAGGTGACAGAAGTGAGCTCTAGAATGCAGCAGAGGATAAATGAACACTTTAAAAAAATTAAGAAATACAAAAGAGAGGCAACAAGGCGGCGAATCTCTCAGATGTGTTTGTGCATTGAGCAGGCAACCCTTTGGTGAGTTCTAGCTGTTCAAATAGTTAACATTTCAAGGAGAGATTCCAAGGGTATCTCTCTCATCGCCATTTTTCTGACATCACCTCGTGTCAATCTTTTAATTAATGGCCACTCTGCATGCTCTCCCTCCAAAGAGCACACCTTCCTCTTCTTATTCCCCCGCAGGCTTGCATCTCCTAAACTCTAAGGGACCCCAGGAGACTTCCAACCAGGGTAGTAATGGGCTGAGGCAGCTCATCTTGGGCTCACTCCCTGAACCTGTATCCCAGGCCCCCTGTCCTCTGACTTCTCAGTGAGCCAGAGCAGCCCTGCCCGGGCTCTCTCCTATTGCTCGTACGCTGAGCCCTTCCTTGTTTCATTGTCCCCAGCTTTAATAAACGTACTCTCAAAAAAAATTAATGGCTACTCAAAAAGCCTTTCTGTATTCCAATATTGTGAATAAATTCACTCACACTTTCCTCAGTTTTATTTATAGCCTCACATTCTTTATGTTTTAATACTTTGAACCACTGAGAATTTATCTTTTATTGTTGTTTGTTCCAATCAGCAGTAGTTTCTATATCATTTATTGAATAATACTTTTTTGTATTAAAAATTTGATATATCACAATAATCATCAATCTAATGCTTCTAAGTGCTTAGGGCTATATAAAACAAATGTGTGGGGTTTTCTTTGTTGTTGTTGTTCCATTGCCCCAATTTTTTTTTCTGTATCATACTGGCCTTAATATTTTCAGTAAGAATAGAAAAGTTTTACTGGTTGCCATGAAACACCTTATTTATTTATTTTCCATTAATTTTGTAGTTATGACTCCCTAGACATAACTGGTGGGGGAATACCTGACATTTTCAGTATAAGCTATCTCATTGAATTGCTTAATTTATTCCTAAACATAATGCTCCTATAATTATCCAGTATTGCAGATGAAAAAAAAAAAACTTTAAAGAGGTTAAGCATCTGGTGTGAAGTCAGGTAACTAATAAATGGCATCGCTGAAATTCAATCTTATGTGTGTCTGATCCTAAAGACTATGTTTTTTCCACAACCGTAGAGTTTTGACATCCTGTGTCAGATGCAGGAAGCTATTTGCCAAGCTCCAATA